AGTAAAGTAGGCAGACTTCAGAAACATTGTTGAAATTGAATGGAAATCCTACTAACATTTCAAGCAGTCCTCCAGCACATACTACCTTGGCATGACTTGACCAGAAACAGTTACCTCATCCTTAATGTTGCAAGGGTCCAACATTATATAGAATTAAGAACTATTGCTGAGATAAAATGAGAAAAAATAAGCTTAGCCAACTAATATCATCTCCAACATGTCATAATAAATTCTAGACCAGGTAAATGAAAATGTATACCCATAAGCACACCATTAAATAAACATAGAGAAAACAAAATGGTGAACAATATGWTTATACATATACTCAAGTGAACCTGGTATRAAACAAGTACTAATATCTAWTATCCAAGATTTTAAGAATTTACTATTTCTTTTCTTGAACAAAAAAAATATAACTTTTTCTGGATCTGGTAATGGAGATAGTGCATTGCTGATTGTTTGCATAATAGGTTGAGGAGGTCTAATCAAAAGTTTTGATGAACCACATAAATAAGTGAAACCTAATAAGATAAAGAAAAATATTGAGGTGTGCATAACTTCCTTGTCTCAAAGCAAGTAAGTAAAATGGTATATATTCACACACACACGTGCATATATATGTGTGAGTGTTTGTGTGGAACCACATGGTCTGTGTCATTCCACTCACTTGATGTCAATCAAACCTGTTCAGCTGTTTTAGAATTGTTCTTGGAAGATGAGTTATACTAGCTCCACCCAAAATTTGACGAGCCTTTTGGCTCTAAATTAAAGAAAGAACTTTGGTCTTTCCAAATTTTTAGCAATATTTACATCATTTTTCCTGTATGTTTGAAAGTTCGGTAACAAATAACAACACTTGTGCAGTTTTCCATAACCTCTATGACCACCTTTAGCAAACAAAAGTGTGTAGTTGAGAACATGTTTTCCATCAAGTTCCACACACAGTAACTAAAKGTGCTTCGAAAAAGCATTCCCTACATAAGAAATCTRYTTCGAAAAAGCATTCCCTACTTCCCTGTCATTAGTTGAAGTACCACTAGTGGCAATGAGTGGTTCTCAATCTCATGATATTTAACTAGCATAGTTTTTGCTAAAACATGTTCCAGAACTAGCATAGATAAGATGATGTGCTTTTAGCTATTTTTCGTAGTTGACCCAAAAGGATGTGGATCCAATAGCAAGTGTTGAACTCAATCTTTTTTATTTTATTCATCAAACCCAAAAGCATTTTGAACATGTTGTTATATTAAGGATTCATGGTATCAATTGCTAATGTAGATAATGAAACTAATATTCAAGTTTCTTTATCTTACAGGCGGAAAAAAGTCAAAGAGGAAGCGAGATACTAGTAAGAAGGTAGCAAAGGAAGGAGATCCTATAATGGGCTTGATAACTTCTTCGACTACAGGAGTATACCAATTAGTACCACCTGGTGATATTGATAAGTCTTGTTATGCTTGATCAATAGCTGTAAACATGAATTCAAACATATACATGGACCATTTATTAATGTACCACAAGTTTGCACAACAATATATTGTCTTTATATACACAGTACCATAAGAAGATACACATATAATTATAGATATTAAAGATTTCCAGAATCAAAACAAGAAGATAAAATCAATACAGAGTAGACAGTAAGAAGTATTCTGAAAACATGAATTCAAACATATACAAGGACCATTTAATAATGTATCACAAGTTTGCACAACAATATATTGTCTTTACATACACAGTACCACAAYCATGCCTAAATCATTGATACATACAGAGGCATTACAGGTTCTAATACAACAAAATACATCTAAAATTAATAGACATAAAAAAGCAGATATTAAAGAATTCAAGAATCACACCAAGAAGATATTAAAGAATTCAAAAATCACACCAAGAATACAAGTAAAGTGAACGAGGTGATGATAACTAATTTGGATAACACACTGTGATACAAATCAGATTGAACACATTATATTGTAGAATTAACGTAGTTTTCAACAGCTGTATGAAACAAAAACCTGGATTTTCATCATTCTGAATCTCATTGTTCGATGTGTAGCCTGTTGTATCATCAATTACATGAGTTTCAATATCTTCTACCAAACCGATTTCTTCACAGTTTTTTTGGACATCTGTAAATGCAGAAAGTCCAACATCAAATTCTTCATTAGCCTCCCAGGTCACAACCTCCATAACATCTATCAAATTCTTCATTAGCCTCCCAGGTCACAACCTCCATAACATCTACATTTTCTTCATGAGAATTGACATATACACTATCTTCATCAGAATTGACATGAATTGAAGAATCAATAAGATTTTTACCACTGTTCTTCATTACGTTATCAATCTCCAGGATGAAATCTTTGCAGAAAAAACTTATTGATTTCACATTCTTAAATAGTATTGATACAATCTTCAACAAATATGTGTGATTCCATATGATTCATCAGAATCATGAACATGTTTACGCACACTGATTATTTTTTTTAAATTATTTCACTAAATCATATTAATATTTTATTTTAGGAATGTAAATCAATATTAATTATTTTATTTGAAACGGTTCCATTTTAAAAATTAAAATTTAATCTTAAATTATGAATTAACTAACATACCATTTTAATTTGATTTTAATTGTATAATTAATATATTAAAATGATTGGTTGAGATTGGTTCTTACAGTTACCACAAACTCAGTTCTTCCTTGAATAGACCCCTATATATATATATATATATATATATATATATATTAAAATTTCACTATTTAGATTTTATTAACTTTTTTGAATTATTTAAATATTATTTGTTGATGATTCAGTCAACAACCAACATATATTTATATAGACAATATTTGAATCATTAATCAAAGTACTCATGTTACACGGTTCCCACGGTAACATTTTTAAATACAAAACCAACAAATCGATCTTCGAATTCCCACTCTAGTACCAATCACAGGTTCGAGTCGAATAGGTTTGAAATTGTCTAGTGATTTTCATCATATTTTTTACGCTTACTGCAAACAAGAATGTAAAGGGTTTAAGGAAAAGATCGATCCCCTCCCGCTGATCAAAAAGTAACGTACAAAATTAATTTGAAATTAGCAGCCAGCCTTAGAAGATTAAGAATGGGTTATGTATTCCCAACATTCAAAAGAAAAAACATAACCTCTTTTTTACAATTTTAACAGAAGAATGACCATATTCCAGATCAGGCACTCGCAGTAATACATTATGAACATAACCAAAAAAAATTACCAACATACCTGTGTAACTCAAAAAAGAAAGAAAATATAATATTTTAATAGAAATAGAAAAAAGAAAAAGAAAAAGAAAAATAATAAAAGCTTTTGATTTTACAGTCTCTTCTTCAGTGCAGTATATCCATCCCCCTTAATTTGCATTATTTCACATCCACTGTGTTTGCCAGGATTTCCCTAGATAGAAAATTGCACCTCCAACATGACCATCAAATGTAATTGTGATGACCATCTAATGGAAAATATGTGAACTTCGGTGACGGCTTTTTTGAGCAGTTGGGGCTCAAAGATGCTTTGTTTGCCGCTTCGACGGCCCTCCCGGAAAGAGCTTCATTATCCATCCTAGAACTCTTTCGACCACCTACCCAGTAAAAGTTTAGAAAAGATCAAGAATGCGGCCACGAGGTATAAAACTAAACCAAACTGCCCATGTATCTCCCACCAAGAAGTGGGTTTCGGGTGAGATGCATGGCAGACTTGCACCCTACCCTGGAGACTAGAGTTGTTTTTCGTGAAAACTACTAGCTTGCAAAAAAATAAAGCTAGCCCCGAAGGGAACTATTTGCTCAATAACCATACATGAAAATTTTATGAACAGCATAACCTTACGAAAAGTTTAAGTGACATTCTTGTATATGAAAGGGGCATGCTAAGGTCATTGATTTAAAAGAAAATTGTGAGGTCATTCAACCAAATTAGAAAAATAGAAAATTGAAGATGATGCAACAAATTATATGTGATAATAGAAGGCAGCGTTTTTTGTACCTCATCGCCTTCATCGGCATAGGGAGTATTGTCAACCACGGTACGAGGAGGAGACTTTCTAACTGGGATATTATCAGCCACCATACTCTGAGAAGTCAACAGCTCTAATCTTTGTGTTTGAACTTCAAGTTTATGGGATAGTTCCTTGTTCAAATTCTTCATAACGAAAAAGACAAATTAATGCATATCTGTTTTTACATATCATTGTTTGACCTATCTGATCCATGCTTATTTCTATTGAAGTAAACACAGTAGGGTCTAGGGAGGGAGGATGGGTAAGCACTAAGCAGACCTCTCCTCTATCCCAAGGGGCAGAGTGGCCGTTTCTGTGAATGACCCCCCAGCTTGTGCAAAAGCGTGAACGAAAAGAAAATAAGAAGTAAAACTAGTTAAAAGTAAGACAGAAGCACAAGGCACAATTAAAAATAAAGAGTGCAAGTCCCTTTAATAAATTTTTAATCCCATTACGACTCATTGTTGAAGCTTAATGCAGACATTCCATCAAATTTGACTCCTTTACAAAGTCCATATACCAAATTAGCCAAAATCTTTCAGTAAACCGTGGTGCAATTTAAGTGGTAGGAGGGATTGTATATGTGATATTGTAACAAACAATGCCAACAAACCCATACATACCTTCAACTTTGAACATAGCGATGATTCAGTTGACAACGCTTGCGTCAACTCTTCTTTTTCCATTGCTAACTGAAACCAAGATTAAAAATGTCAATCAGTGGGATAGTGCAATGCAACATCAACTACCTCATTGTCTGATTAGAAATAAAACCTTTTTGATGGGATTCACAGCTGAAGAAAGAGTGAACAAAAGAGAAATTACCTCGGAAATTAATGTGTTAATGTTTTGGATCATTCTCATCTGATCTGGAGGTATACTCAACGATGAAACTTCCAGACCAAAATTCCCACTTTGTAACTGCAAGGAGGCATCATTTTCACCAAGAGTTGATTGTATTGCAGGTGTAGGGTCTTCACTCTCATTTACTGAATCAAGAACAATATGACCAACATATAAGACGAACTGTAGAAGATAAATTAATATACAAATGTAGAAATCATACACACATTACAGAGACTGTGGTGATGATATTTTAAGTCAAAATTAACCATCTTAAAGTCCGTTAACATGAGTTCCAACTAGTGAATATGATTTTGCCCATCTTCTTACCATTCTTTTCATGCTTACTGAATGCAACAGAAAATTTAATGCCCAAGTGATACTTCACAATTTTATGCAAACACGTCCATTTGGGAAAACCTATATTTTACCACTCAGATTCGCACTTTTATCAGTTTACAGAATGTGTTCAATTCCATATCAATTTACCTACTTAGTCTTTGCATCTATCTTTGAACGCTATCGTGCACCTTTCAATCTAATCATCTCATCCTCACCTACCTGAAACATACCAATTTTATGAGCCAAAGATAAGCTTATCTTTGAACACTAAGGGGCTGGTCTATATTAATTTGTAATAACAATCTAATCCTACACTAGCATGAAGAACTACCTACGGCAAACCAGCAACTTATAGCTTATTGAAAAATCCGACAAATTGTTCAACTTATAACTTGATGGACCAACAATGCAGTCTGTATCATGTTGAAATTGGAGCACTAGCAAAGGTGAATCAGAGTATTAAAGTAAAGCCTTAATGGTGTTCAAAGTTCAAAACTACAAATATCAAGTTGAATATGGTTACCACTATCAACTAACATTCCTTTTCAGAAGACCACTAAAATAATTAAATTGGCTCCAGCCTATAATTATCACATACCAAGATCATCTGTAGAAGTTGATGCTTCCTTTTTAGCAGGCTGACTCTTCTTAGTATCCACCGAATTCCCAATGCCAGGAGCTTTCCGCAGCTTAGATTGCAAGAGTTTTTTCTCTGGGCAAGGAGAAACAAGAATATGAGGTGAAAATGCCAATGTATGTTCAAAATTATCTTTGCATTTACATAAAATCCTCACCATCAATACATGTAATGGAGATGATCATAACGACACAAAAGCAAAGGTATATATATAATTATGAATTAACTGCAACAATGTATGAAACACAAAATGATTATGACAAATCTATTTGGTGTGTATTGCAGCAATATGATGCTTGCCATTTACAAACTCATTTATACTTACTGCCAAAACAATAACCATTGAAAAACAGAATACTGTCTCAACAATAGGAAGGAATAATTAATCTCCTCATTGTGTTGACATCCAAAAGAATGAAAATAATATGCATTCTGTTGAAAGAACCCAACAGTTACAAACTAACCCCAATCCTTGCGATCTATCTAGACCCTGTGAACTAATAAGTCTAACAGAAAACAACAGAACTCCAGGAGTGAAAACAATAATTTGTCAACCTGTAAGGGCTAAGCTGAAAACTTCTACTCTCATTTTCTTCCTTTGCTTTACCAGACATGGACATTAGTGATAAAAAAGAACAGCTACAGAAGCCACAATACCAGAACTACTAAGGAGGTGTTTGGTTGGAGATATTAAAAGGTAATCAATGGGAATGAAAATCTTTAACATATTTGAGAATTATTCAACTTGAGTTATACTCACTGTATCAGTTTGGTTCAAAAAGGGAATGAAAATGGAATGATTTATGATGTTTGGTTGCAAGTAATCGAATCAATCATTATAATAGAAAGGGGTAAAAACCATTCCACTCCAAATTGGGTGGAATGAACGACGATCCTCTAACCATCGTCGCTCAACACGTCACAAAATTGATCCATCTTCTGACCATCTACACTCAATAAGTCGACAAAATCGATCCTCTAACCTTCTTAGTTTCCTCTAATCAATCGATCATCTGATCATCTTCTGTTCAATACTCTATTTTACATACAGGTATAGATCTTGTTCATCATCTTCGATTTTGTTCGTTTCTGGGTTTGTGTTCCTCATCTTCGATTTTGTTCGATTTTGGGTTTGCATTTATCATCTTCGACTGTGTTCGGGTTTGTGCTCATCATCTTCGATTTTACACACGGGTATCAATCAGTTTGTTTTTGTTCATCATCTTCGATTGTGTTCAATTTGGGGTTTGTTGATTTTCTTAAGTTCGATTTTGCTTTCACAATAATCGATTTTCTTTAGTTTTGGGTTTGTTGATTTTCTTCAGTTCGAATGTGTTCGATTTTACACACAGTTTGATTTTACTAACCATAGAAATCCTATCTCGTGGGTTTAGAGATGAAATGGGGAAGATGGTGGTTTAGAGATGTTGTGTAAGGATTTTTTCTTGGAAATGAGGAAGCTTTTTTTAACATTATTAATGGAAGGAAATCATCAATAATATAATGGAACAAAAATAATGATTCCCATTCTACTTTATTATCATTACCAATCCCATTTTCATTCCTTGAAATGAACCAAACGCCCCCTAAGAAAAATTAAGGCAAAGAAAAAACGTAAAGCAGATTTCCAAGACCAATCAAACCTGCAAATCAAGCGTCCAAAGTCAGCAAGTCAAACCGAAGTCAAAAGTGAATTTCTTACGTGACCAGCAGCAAAAAACAGAAGAAGAGTCGAACCCTATCAAGTGTAAAGCTGAAGGCAAAACCTAGTTGGGTTGCAAAAAATCAGTTAAATCCCTTGATATTGTAACAAACAATGGAGACCAGCTCAAGAAATGGAGCCCAACAGTTAATTGCCAAGGATTTGTTGCCAACCTGGATCACCATTAATCCAAATGACAAGCCAAATGAATTCTAAGACCTTTGATCAAAATCCTACCGACGATCAAATATTTTTGCCGATCCAAACGAATTTGGATAGCTTTTGCAGTCCTCCCAGCTGTTCAAGAGTTCTTTATGATCCTCAAGCTATACTAGTAGAAATTGACTACCACAAGACACTAACATGGTACTCAAACACCTTTGCAGCATCTAGAGAAGTCCAAACACCGCCACAGTTTTTCCTTACCAGCAGCAAGCACGTAGTCCTCTTGTACTACTTCATACACATGCAACTGATAGTTTTAAGTGGCAAAAGAGAGACGGGATTTAAATAGTAGGCTAGGGTTTGTACTAAGAGCCAACTTAAAATCGGAATAAAAAGAGTAGAAAAGGGGCCAAAGGATTGAAAGTATGAAATCCAAACCTAATAATAATACCAAATACAAATACATAACAATTGCTATCAACAACTCATATGAAACTTCCAAGCCTGTAACCCACTTAGATGGTAATGCATTGAGAACATAAAAACCGACACAAACCCTAAGCAACAATACTAAATATAATTAAATGACAATTGTTATCAGTAACTGATGATGAAAATGGCAAGCCTGTGACACATTCAGGAATGCACCAGCAAACCCATATGAAACGGATCTTGCCCCAATATTGATGATTATACTTTCATGTAAGTTAGCAATGGATTATAGATCATACGTTTCATACTTCGTTATTTCAAAGAAAGTAAACCACCACGTCAAGGGTAGCTTTGTTATGCAAGAAGACTTTTGCAATACCTTACGTATCATAGTTATCTAATTCCTAGAATGAAAACAGTACATTGGTTATGTATATTGACTTATCATTGTAATATTTTGGATAATAATATGAGACCTGCAATGAAAAACTTATCATTCTATTAACCTATGTCACTCAAGGTAAACAAAATTAATTTGATCACATACAGGTACAATACTAAGTGATTGCCAAACTGAGTTATACCTAGTGATATTTATATAACTTGTTTGTTTTAACTGTTTCAACGATTAGAAATTCATTCAACAGAAATGGTGCATAGCAAAAACATACACATACCTTCTTGTAGAGCATCAATAGTGAACTGCAGATCTTGGCGCTCCTTCTCCAGGCTAGATATTCTTCTCCTGAATGTTTTATGAATTCAAATTTTCAACCATTCAATGGTACAGCACCAAGACAACTAGGATAACTTCAGGGAGGACAATCTACTTAAAAGTATCCAGAAAAAAGTTAATCCAGTAGAAAAATTCTATAAACAACCCCTCCAATGTAAGAAAGAAATGAATTGACAGTTGCAAGTAAAATAGAAAACTCGATGGTTGTAACCAAAAAGGCATGTGCAAAATATAAGATATTACTCTATTCCTGAGTCACAAAAATGGTTGCATGAAGAACTGAACTGCATCGGCTTTCAAGCAATCACAAAAGCGTATACTATCGGATGTTTCAGGATGCTTTAACAGGTTAAGTCACAGAAGTTGTCACCAGTCATGAAATAATTGCTACACCATGTTGAAGAACTAATAAGTGAGGCAGGGCTCTCCATGGAGAACCACCAGACAATGGCCACATAAGTGTATCCAGAACAATAGAAAAAGTGATAATTTTCTCCAGTTTGTATAGATGGGTTTATGCAATAGGCAGTAATTTAGCTCTTCTAGCTGCCTTGATTGAACCTCCAATAATTCAAAGGGATGATTAGTGACAGAATCAGAAAGCCTTATAAGATCTTGGCTTCTGTGATAACTTCTGAAAGAAAGCTTCCTTTTTTTGATACTTCTATTTTGTAAGTTGAGTGATCAAACAGTTCCATTAACCATCAATCAGTTAGCCTCCATGATGAAATGGTCTGACACCAATTAGTCAGCTTCCAATCCGAAAAGTATTTGTGGTACCTAATGTCATAGTTCTTCCTCTCAAGAACCTTTAGAATTATACAGACACAATCCATCTGTTGGGGCTACATATAGATTTTCTTGTGATCATACTGTTCTACAACAATACAAAAGAGTAGTATGTCATGGTTCTTTGTTCAACTAATATGCAGATCCGACATAGAAATCATAGAACACTTAAATAGTAATAATGGAGTAGTACTTTAAAGCCATAAGCTCAGACCGTACTTCTGTGAGGACATTTCTGCTTCCAAGTTTTCCAATTGTCTCTCCAGTTTTAGCTCATTAGACCTCAGTCTAAGTGCCTACAAAAGAAAGATGTGTTAAATAAAATCAGTCTATCACAAAAAAAAATATAGACAGGCCAGAGAAAGATATGGTATCGTTTTTAATTTAGTTAATAAAATCTATGACAAAGCATCATATTCAAGTACAATGCACTTGACCTTTAAAATGAAAAATTCCTTGAACTGAATAAAACATTCTAGTCCTAACCAACTTGATAATAGATCAAATGGTTTGTTCATTAGATACCATGGGTGTATAGTACCTTCTCTTCTAACCCAATAACCTCAGAGGCCAACAACTTGGCACGTTCATCAGCCGCATTACATTCTAATCGGGCATTTCCATACTCGGACCTCACAGCCTCAAGTTCCACCTAGTGACATATAACGAATGAGGAAGTAAGTACAGAGCGCATAACTTGCCAGAGAAATTTTAATGAACAAAATGGCGATAGAAAACATAGTGTAGATCTCAAAACATAGTGTAGATCTCAAGCATATAATCTGAGAGGTAAACATAGCTATAACATGATTAGGACACAGTAGCAGAATATTTGACAATGTCTTTGATATCATCTAACTTAATGACATCAGGCACAAACCCAGATGGTAACAATGTGGTGGAGAGGTCAGACAAGGCATGTTAATGGAAAAATATGACAAACTAATAACTTGAATTTCAATTCACGTAGCATTCTAATTTTCATTCCTTCTCCGTTTTACTATGAATTTCTGTAATTTTTATGACTAATGACAATCCGCTAACCTTATTCCTCCCTCCATCTCTCTTACTTCCTAGCAGCAGGGAACCAACCCATTCAGATCTCCATCACAGGGGAACAGTGTTGTTAAAACAATTATCAAAATTACCTATTGCACTATGGTGTTTAATTTATTATAAAAACCAAAAACAGGACAGAGTACAAATATTAAGCTCGAAGATTTAATGCCACACAATTGCTGCTGTTAATTGCATCTTATAGAAGACACTAACCAGTAGACCCTTGATTTCTTCCTGCAATCTCTCCATATCAGACTTCAATTGGTTGACAACACCTCCCTGCAAACCAAAAATGAAGTAAAAGATATTGGAATTTATTAACTTCTTCTAAATGAAGGCATGCTTGCAAATTGACAAATCAGAAAAATCATGTCATGACAAGAAGTTAGAAAACAAAAATACATTCTACTGTGGTATATCATACTATGACAGTTGCAAGGCAAAACAAGTGCATATAATGCAAAACGTAGATAAGCCATAATTACATTACGTGAATGAGAATACAAACACGGAGTCAAAAGACATGGACACAAACGGCAACCTTGCATGCAAAACTCTCATTTGTTTTAAACGTAGTTCACTCCAAAGCATATGCACACACATGCAGGACAAGATCCTACCTGTTGGTTATAACTATCAGTCAGTGCTGAGTTTTCAGTGGCTAAAGACTCTGCCAGAACTTGAGATGCCTCAAGAGCTCGTTGCAAAGAGAACTTTTCCTGTGTCAGGTCTTCAATATGCTGCTCAAGAAAAGGAAAGAGAAGTTAAGATATTGTCACTGCATGACATTTAGCAAGTGAGATAAGTTGAAAGTAACATGATAGACTACAAGGACAACAACTAAGCATTTCTATTTCTCAAATTAGTTAAGTAAGTTCTAAATGAGACCAACCTGAAACTATAAAGAGATAAAGCAACCTCAAAATGTGGTTGGCAGCCTAAACAGCATTCCTCCATTCTTATCTAAGGCGGTAAGGCCAAATACATTCTCACATTTGAATTGATCAAATGCTTTTCAATATTCTAGCATGTTAAGTTGAGCCACCCAACAGCTCCTATAACCCCATCCCCACTTACTACAGTTCTCCCTTACTCATCAATGCATCCAAAAGGTCAATGTTGGTAGGATGGGATCTTCTCAAGTAATGTTCTTTTATTCTCGATCGCACCTCGTGGTAGCCCAACATTCTAAGAAGCAGCTATACCCTCACCACAATCAGTTTAACTTAACCTTCTACCCCGTCCCCACCCCCAACCCCATCCAAACCAATCCAAAAGTAACACACCTCATGGAGGACGGAAAACAAAGTACAAGAATATCCGGTAAATAATACCCAGTGATCTGTGCACCACAATCTCCTTTTGCTTTTACATCAGACCAACATGTATTTTATTAAGATATATAATAAGTTTCTTAAACACATGTTTAGACGTAAAATCCACAGTCCCAGATTGCACACCAAAAGTACCAATACTTCCTCCTATGGATGCAGTAATCTCGTTAGAAACATTCCCAAACAAGTAAAAAAGTTGCAAACGAAGAAAATGACTCAACTGCAGTCCTTAAGGTATTGTATCCATCAAAAACTCTAAAAGGTTAAACAACCTAGATAGCACCTAAATAAGACTGCTGTGTATGTAACTTGTGCATAGGTCAGCATTCTAATAAACCTTAAATCGGATTGCAGAACACATGTATATACATGTACATATTTTCTTGAATAAAATAGGCAAATAAGCATCAAGAAAGTATTAAAATCCATAGCAAATTGTCCATAAAAAGTACTTGTAGACTAAGCAGCTAACACAGTCATTTTCTGAAATCATGGTCAGGGTCACGGTCATCGTGTTGGTAAAGCGGCAGTACAGCGATAAAGTTAGGCTCAAAATAAGTAAAAATATTTATGTAACATATATTATATATAAAGAACTCAATATACTGTATAAGTGAATATGTCTAGTCTAATACACATAAAGTAAGGTCAAACAAATGAAATTCCACACAAGAAACATAGTAATAGAGCTTGTAAAGGTTATAATTGAGATAATTGCACTAGCTGTAGATAGCGATAAATCGCGGTCAAATAGCGGTAAATAATGCCGCTAATTGCAGGACCGTTGTTTGACCACCGTTATTCCTCGACCACCAGTAATCGCTATAGCACCGCACTCTTTATTCATATATTATATCCCATGAAACAACAAACCTAGAATACGGAGAAAAACTGAACCAGAAGCTGCAAGCAAAGAGACGAGTACACCTCGAAAAGACACTAAAGGCGAGAGGAGAGAAGTAGAAAACAAGACATCAAAGTCCTAATACATTAAAAACGGGAGAATGTTTATGCTTTTAAAACCATAAATATAAGATGTCCAAGCATTTGAAGTATTATATTCCATTTTGAACTTTCAAGTATTTTGAACCTGCAAGAACTTTTTAGAATAACAAAAAATGATCCAAAACCTCCACACACATAACAAGTGAAGCTGCACCCATGGCACAACCAAATTGCATTGGACCCACACCCACCCTTTGAAGTGATTTTCTTAGTCTTAACAAATGAATGTGCATCCTGTCAATATCCTGGCAGCACCCATGCGGCACATGCACGGAATCCACACCAAGTGCAAGTTTGACACTTTAAGTCAACTATAGGTGCTTCATAGTATCACAGACCATAAAAATAAAATAAAAAAGCGGGAACTTGACAAAAAACAAAAAAAGAAGTGAAGAGAAACATCCCCCAACCAATATCTCCACTTACAAGGCTCAAATCCTCACCCTGAAAGCATAGTTGCCATTAAAGATTTTTTAGCCCTAAAATTCTTATACGAAGCTTCGTAGTTGCTTCCCCCCCCTTTTTTCTTTTGCCCCGCCATGCCACTAGATCCATAATGACCGGCGAGTCGGAACATGTATGAATATAACCACGCAGAGCGCCATAAAGTAAAAAACAGAAGATGCACATGCCTTCCTGCTCATTGTGTGTGGACTTCCTAGTTGAACTAATATAGATCAGGTTGTTGGCTCGGAGAATGTTTGCTAAAGAAAGAGAAGTAAAGAGAAATATCTCCCAATCAATATCTCCACTTACAAGGCTTGAATCCTCACCCTAAAAGCATAGCTGCCATTAAAGACTTCTTAGCCCTAAAATTCTTAAAGATAAAACAGAAGAAGCAAATGTCTTCCTGCTCATTGTGTGTGAACTTCCTAGTTGAACTAATTTAGATCAGACTGTTGGCTCGGAGAATGTTTGCTAAAGAAAGATATAGCAAGCAGATTTTAAGTCAATGCTGAAGATAAAGGAACTCCCTCCGCGGATGATGGGAGGGAAGTTACATTAAGCAGCTCAGATAAAACCGATGGCTTTTATATATTAGACAACAGAGTCCAGGCAGTAAGTCATTTTTTCTTTACTCTCTTTTTTGCAGAAAAATGAAGGCCTTAGAAATAAAGTCAAATCAAATCAGCGACCTTTCCGATAGATCATTGTACCAAATCGTGACGAGGGTTAACTTCCTGCATCATAACCCCAAGTGATAAGACCATGGGTTTGCTCCCCAGTGATCACCAATTAGAGTCCCCTCAGGGCCACTGGAGGTTTTCCCGACTGTAAACCTCAGGACCCCATATGATCAATCAAGGTGTGCACAGGCTGGCCCGGACACCCAGGGTTGTACAGCAAATTTGAGTACAGCAAGTTGTGCATAAAATAAGACACGAATAGCAGTACGATATAAGATTTTGGAATCATGAGCAAGTATGCTATGTACCACCATACACAAAGGAGTTACCCACAGAAGCTGTTGAGTTAAGGAGTCAGATGTTGCCTGGCGTTCTTGTGCCACAACGCTTGCAGGCATAGGGCACAAGTACCTTGACCACTGGAAAGAAAATCCATTTTATGGTCCAGGCCTGGATGGAAACCTTAGGCCCATTCTCTACATCTCTCTTTGATTGTAAAACCCCAAGCAAAAATTAATAAATTAACTTGCTTATGGCCGTAGAGTAGATCAATTCTGGACCGAACCACATAATACCTCTGTGTCTTTGTGTGTTGTTTACTTTTCTATTGCTGAATGTTGCTCGTGCGAATCCTGTATCCTACAGGGTTTTCCCACAGAAGCAGTGTGTGTTGCTGAGAATCCCTAGCTAATAAAGTCATAAAACTACTTAATGCCCTAAAGAGCAATTACCTTGTAAAATTCCTGTAGAAGTTAAATAACTATAGATCAAGTGATAAAGTTATCAAAAAAAATCGTTACAGCAAGGACATACAACCTGTTCCAAAGCAGCAAAATCTTCATTCTGTTTTGTAGAATGAAAATTATTCCTCCTCTCCATATCAAGTTCATTGACACCCTGCCTAAACAGGTCACCCATGTTAGCAATAGAAGAGTTCATGAAATTTTTAGGATCCGATGAAACAGGAGCCTCCACAGGGTAAACTTTTGAACTGAATGGGTTGGCTTTATCTGCCTCTGAAAGAGATGTCGAAGAATTTCTAGACACGATGGAATCCAGGAAAGATGGACGAGATCTTCTTCCAGCTACGGATGGCGACATGGACGTCTGATTATGTGAGGGTACTGCTTCAGTTCTGAAGCTTGTAGATACAGTAAAAGATGAGCTGTTTTCACTGGCAGGATGATCAACAAGGTTATTATGGTTCCTATCGCCCACTGCAGAAACTGAAGGATAGCGATGCCCCAACACAACTTCTGGAGATTTCCCAACTTCAGAGGAATAATCTGAAAGTTAGAAGGTAGAGTAAAAATGAATTCTAGATAGAACTTAAGATCTAAAACAAAAAGGTTCCTATAATATATCAATTGCAATGTTTCAGAGCATTAGTTCCAATGCAAAAAGAAACTCGTAAATATAAAAAAAATTATTTCCTTTTTAACTAAAACATATTACCTCGGTAAGTTGGGCCATTAGCTAGTAGATCGGTTTGACTTGAGCTGTTAGCAAATGAAGTACCAAGAGATCTCTCAGGAGAAGACTTGGTAACAGGAACTTGAGACGTAACAGGAATTGTAGAAGTAAAATCCTTCAAATGATCATTTCTACTATTTTTAAGGGCATCTTCCAGCCTTGTATTACTAAAATGATTGAAACTGCTATGAACATCTTCTTCTGGGTGATCAAATGTTCTACTTTTTTCAATGTCCACTGCATATTCGGCATTAAGCTTGGCATTCTTCAACTCCTGAGGAGCAAGAAGATCACTACCTGAGCCATAAAGTGCATCATGCTCCAACTTTTTATCAACTGAATATGTCTGCCCTGGACTTGTAGAATGTTTATTGGAACTGCTTATAGGATTCGCATGTATAGCATACATGGAATGAGGTTCAGTTTCATGAACATCTATTGTTTTGTTTTCATTTTTTCCAACACCAACATCATTTGTACCATCTGCTACCGCAACAGTATCAGAAACTGAAGATTTCGTCTCATGTAGATCTCCATTAGCAGAAGGAGCCGCATTGCTGGATGCAGCTTTTTTGGCTGCTGCTTTCTTCTTACGGAACTCCTCTAGCTATAAAAGCAAAACAAGCACAACTCATTGAACAGAAATCAAATTTTAAAACGAAACATGACAGAAATGTACTCCTTTGAAAGCAGTTGCCCACTTTGATTAGGCACACACATTAAGACAGTAATAACCACAGTATAACCAAACGCCAACAGATCCCTCAATCACAAATAAGTAGGGTGAGTAGCTTTTCATAGCAAAATGGCATTACACGTAGAATAGAAGCCAAGAGAAAATAATTCAGGATAGCATGCATTGAAGAAAACAGGTATTCTCTTCAACATGTAAAATAGTTTGCATTGGTCTAAAAGAGCTATGCTCATCAAGCTAAAGTCAAGAATGAAATATTTTAAAAGGAGATAAAAAGCTCACAAAGACTGCATAGAAGCTACAATTGCCAGAGCAGCAATCATCCACTCAACCAATACTCCCCCCATTCTATATTACTCATTTATGTAATGTAAAATCCATATTCTTCCCTAAAAAATATAGCTGCACTGAAACTTAGCATGTCTACATAAATGTTGGGGTAAGCTGGTGACAAACTCCGCATCAAGTTTGCCTATTAATAAAATTAGGTTAAACATGTAAAAATCATAGCATAACTCATGCACAAATGAAATAATAGGGTCCATGAAGCAACATCTTACTCACCCGGGAAGACAAGTACAAGGTTGTCCTAAAGTGACCACTCAGTTAGCAAAGACTGTTTTTGGTGATAAACGAAATAAGGAAAAAAAAGAAAAACAAAAAATCTTAGAAATTCTTCAAAGACAGACTCGGATGAAGAAGACGGGGATAAGGAGCAATAAGAAGATACTCAGGACAGTACACGCATTGACGTTGAAGGTTCTAATGGTGTGATAGATAATCACAAGTTGCACATCATCGGGTGGTAAGAAACAAAGAGTCACTAGCAATGTTTGTGGACTTCTTGATGCCATGATGAAATCTAATTATGAAAAAAAATAAAGCAATCACATTCGATAAAAATGACCCAATCAAGAAGAAGTTGAAAATGATTGCTTGGAAAAAGTTTGCACGTTTAGCATATTCAGTTGAGTTACATTTTAATGTCATGCGCGATGAGAACTTCCAAGTTCCAAGATGCAATTGATGCAACTGAAGGCTATGGAAGAGGTAATTACCAATTAAAAATTTAGAATATCTCAACTCTTAAGCATTTTTAAATAAAGCTAGAGAAAATAAGAAGTAATTTAATTGTTAGCAATTAGTTTATAGTAGGAACGTCGTCCCCAATTTATCACAAAGCCATGTAACCTTGTTGAAGGATGTACTAAAGGAAGAAGAAGTTTGTGGATTCCTCTAGGCTGCATCGGAAAAATATCAATGCACCATTAACAAACGAGAACGGTCGATGCTTCATCGACTTTTTAATAAATTGTCCTCTCGGAATGGTTTTTTTGTGAAATCAGTTTATGAATCACAGCATCTGAATGATGAAAACTAGATGTGAAAATGATCAATGAAGAGGCTGAGGATGTCAGAGAGAACACAGTGCAAGTAATAGCGTTCTTAGAGTGAGTGGTGCTATTCATTTGCTAGTTGTTTGGTAATTGATTTCACTTTTGTATTCAGAGTAGTTTGTTACCAACAATAGCCAAGAGTTTAAAGAACAGAAACGAACCTCGAGGTGTTTTCCCCTTAGGTACATGAGGCGTATGCCTAGAAAATAAATAAAATTCAAAATACTATATATACACAAATTAGAATCACTAGATGATAATACAAACACTATACAGACAAACAATATATATGTTGACACTACCATCGTGCACTAAATATATACACACTCTGCTAGAGGTTGCCACTACCATTAGACAACATATTTATATACCATGTTGGGTTGCCACTACCTGGAACGGTGAGAAAAGAGCGAATATAATATACATAGGCACCACCACCATGCACTATGCTAGGCTGCCACTACCACCAGACTGTATACACACATATATATTACGCTGAGCTGCAATTACCACCGAACTATATATACACACAAATATATATTATGTTGAGTTGCCACTACCACCTGTGGGACTGTGAGAGAGTTGGATAAGTAAGAAACTATATATATAATGTTTTTCAAAGTCGGAGACTTATTTAAACACATACTTTTTACTGACACTACCACTAACAGCAAATATAGAAACTGGGACTGTGAGAGAATACTCCAGCTGATCTAACACTACCACCAACAAGGACTTACATACTATGTACTAAAACACTCAACTCATGTTTATAACAACGTACGCCTCTCAAACACTTACCGCCTCACAGTCAAACCCACTGCCTCTACTCTGCAGAGCGTGTGTCCCAAACAAGGATTGAGAGGCGACGCCTCAAGAACCTTTTTTGGCCGCCTCATCTTGAGGCACGCCTCAACGTTTTTTAGAACCATGACAATGGCTAGAACTTCAAAGTTGTTGGAAGGATATTATAAGAACACCATTGACAGAGTTTTTGGACTCCATGTGTAGCGCACTGTGTGAACATCATGTTGGGAGATATTAATGAAAAGGTGCATAAGATAAAACATGTTTTAGCTAAAGCGAGAATCATTGTGGTTTACATCTATAACCATTAAAGGATTGTAAACATGATGCAGAAGCTAACAAACAATAGAAAATTACACGTCTTGTGAAAGCATGTTTGCAACACAATTTTATAACATTAAAAGCATATTTGAGAATCGAGATCACCTTCAAGTCTTGTTTGTTTCTAAACAAAGAACTAAGGGTGATTTACAAACAAACCATGTGGAAAGATAAATGAGAGGATAATTGCAAGATCTAAATTTTGGGATAATATCTTTATGCTTGTCAAGTATTTGCAGGTTGGCACCTGTTGTGGATGTGGATAGGTTGGTTCATATCGAAGATAAGTCGTACATTGGATATAGCAATAGAGAAAATCAAGAAGAACCTAACTAGCATTGCATGAAAGATTCGTTACTAGAGTGTGGGATATGATCCATACATGACGGAATGATTGACGTCATCATCCTTTACGTGCAGGCATAAAGCATTTTATGCTTTATTCAATTTTGAGGTTAATATGACTGTTTGGTATTAAACATGCATAGTTGGATATTACCTCAACCCTGCCATATATTTTGGACAATAATCAAAAGATGTCAAAGGCGGAGATAGGATTTAAAGTCAGGTGGAGCAGCAAGCAATAAATAGAAAAATTAAAAATAAATATTAGTTTTCTTGGATTCCAAAAAAATTAAGGTAAATTCATATAACAAACTAATAACCCTTGTAATTTAACTTTAAAACACATTTGGTTTTAAAAAATGTATTGCTACTTGTTAGGGGGGGGACAATGCCCAAAGTGTTTAACCATTTACAAGCTAAAAGGGATAAATAGAAGGGTTTTTTTTTTTACATAAAAAAGGGGATAGCAATGTACGAGTCAGGGGAGCCAATGCCCCCTCTAGTTACTATGTGGCTCCACCACAGAAAGATGTTGATATGAATAGAGAGGTTAAGACTAGATTTTACATTGTCATTGATTGGTCCGTGCCCGATGAAAAATGAAATGAGAAATTGATGCAAGAATTGAAAATCAGCAAAGAGGCAACTTGGATCCCTACTACTATAAGGAGTAGAGTGAAAGTTGCACCACATAAGTACTATTACATACGTATGTATATATTTTACTTATTCGTGTCTTTTTCTTAACTTAGTACATTAATTAAAACATAGATGTATGATTGCGCTCTTACAGGGTCGAGGCACCTTTGTTCCTATAATTTGCTATCAGGGTTCAAGTCAAATTTGTAGTTCTTCACCTCATGTGCGCAATTGGAATGCATTTGACAATTGAGTTTATTTAGGTCAATAACCTTATATTATTTAAATTCAATAATTCTGGTCGCACTGGAAGAAGAATTGTCTTTTGCAACAAAAATTGGATGATCTTATATTCACTCAAGACCACATATAAAGGTGCTCCATATCTCTTACGGATAACAAATCTTTGTATCACATTTTAGATGTGAAAAAAAAATGACGATTAGGTGATTCCAACCAATGTCAAGCTTCAAGAGTTTGTAGATGCAAGTAACCCTCTCCTTTGGACAAATATGCGAAATGCAGTGGGAGGTAATGTTGAAGTTGGGCCAAGTACAAGTAAAAGGGAGCGTTTAGGGATGATGATGATTTGGTTGGAGATGAAAAGAAAGATAGCCTATATGCAATGGAAGGTAATATTGAAGTTGGGCCTTACAAGCAAATGTATTAAATGATATCGACTCACATGTTGAACTTGTCGACTGCAATTAACTCGTTCATGAATTTAGGAACTCTTTTACTATTATGTTTGTGTGAGACTTGATTTGTTTGACCTCATCTTTTGATTTCAACAATTTATGATGGAAAAATTTATGCTTTACTGCATACATTTAAATATTTTTATTTATTAGACATTCACAAACTGTTATTTTTTCCGCTATACAACAGAGATAACCATTGTAGTAAATCAAGGACGACCAGGAATCCAGTTTATGACCGCTATAAGTGCTTAGTCTCTTAGATATGTCTTTGGGGTAGTTTGTTATTTAGTAAAATGCATCATAAGATGTGTATACTTACAATTTATTTCTTAACTTTTACTTGCTATATATTGTATTTTTCATATCTTTTCTCATTCGTGTCAAGTTCCATATACACCTAATAAATTGATTTATTAGTTCTTAATATATCTTATGTGTTCTGAAAAGAAATTTTCAATCCCTTCCAAAAAGATGGTTCAAATATGAACTTTTGAACATCAAATACGTTAACTTCCAGAAAAGCACGCCCTCCTTGGTATATTAATGGCCAATCTAAATCTACATAAGTTACAAGTTTATATTAGTTACATTTGACATCCAAAACTCAAATACAGAGTGATTCTTTTATAGTTGACCTTAAATTGTGAATTACTGGTACATCACCGTGGTAACCGGTTGGACAGAAAACCAAATTCCATAATCGAACATCCCAGAATTAGAGCTTCATAATATACATTCACAAGAAAAGAAACCTAATGTGAAAGAAATAATAAACATACCCTTCTCTTTCCAGCTTCCAATTGTTGTTGTTTCTTCGATGAATTGCTCGAATTAGGCAACATCTGATCCGACGCCATTCAATCAAAACACAACCCTAGAAGCAATCACAACCTCAAACGGATGACCCAACTTGCCAAAATAGGGATCCGGAATGGGGTTTTATACACAATATATAATCATTCAGAAGATATGCATGACCGAGGAAATTGTTTTAAAATTTCGAACAAAATCAACATAAACCCTAATTAATTTGCAGATAGGGGGTCCGATCTAATCGGAGAGGGAGAGCCGCTGTGTCAATTTTCGGTATGTTGCGTCCCGTTTCTCTTAGATCTCTCTCCCTCCTACCGATCTCTCTCTCTCTCCTTTCTTTTATTTGCTTATAGAATTTTCCGTTAGTTCTACGCCTCTTTTGCTGGAAGGACGTCGACATTGCTGCGGGTAAAATATAAATTTTGAACTTTAAGGAAATTCATTTTGTACCCCCAAGTTTTCATAAATTTCAAAGATTACCCCTCTTGTTTGTATCATGTGACAATGAATAGGGCCCCAAATTCCAAATATGTTTTAACCCGGTCCTAAATCCAACTTATTTTAATCCGGCAACATCTCACACCTGTAAGCAATCTCTAGCCTCTTTCTAATCGTTTTCGCCGATTGAACTCCCTTAGCTCCTTCACTTTGTTTTCCCGTTGATGACAACACGACCTTTCAAATCCCTGCAGCTATTTCTTTTGATAGAATCAAACAATGGCTCCTTTAATTTGTTTATTAATTGACTTCAAAGATGCCGACCACCAAATCATATTTAAAATCACCTGCAATTACTCTTGAATAAATAACATTTCACCTTTGATTTCTATCTTGTTCAACGGTTCAATCAGTGTTCATCGATTAGCTACTCATCCGGTTCAAGTTTCGATGATTTGGTTGATTGTTCATCAATTTATCTGTGTTGTGTAAGTAACTAACTTTACCGATCTAGATTGTGTGATAAGATTTTATATAATGATATGATTTTGAATGTGTTATAGGTTAGTGAAACCTAATTCCCACTTGTGATAGTTTGTGTTTAAAGTATTGAACCTAGTACCGCATTTTGCTTGTAGAATTTGCAGAATTATCTGATTTCTGAACTCTAGTTAATGCTTTGTGAGTTTTAGGTTACCTAGTACCACATTTTGCTTGTAGAATTTGCAGAGTTAACTGATTTTTGAACTCTATAAGTTCTAGGATATGTACATGAAAAGGCTTTTACACTCTTGGACTATGATTTATTTGATGAAGTTTTAGACTTTAGAGTTGTGTTTTATGGTAAGAGGCACTAGTAGGGGTGAGCAAAGGCGGGTACCCAGCCAAAATTTATGGAACTGGTCTTGGAACTGGAACTGGTCTCGGAACTGGAACTGACGATTCCTCAGTTCCTAGAATGAAGGAAACGGAACCGGTTACATCGGTTCTTTATATTTAGGAATCGGTCCAAGAACCGCTTGGAATCGGTTCCGGTACCGGATACCCGGTGTCTAATTTTTTTTAAACAATTTATCATTTCATACTACAAAAAAGTATTTCTTAACTTTAATGCTTGTAGTTTACTTTCTGTATTTTCCATCTCTTTTATTTAAATTTCAGTCTTTACATCTTTTTTGCAAGAAGAATCTGAGTTTGGGGTGTAAGGGAAGGTTTAGACTGAAACCAATGCGAAATTGGAAAGGTGTCTTTAATATATCATTTTTCATTTAACTATTCATTCTGGCTATTCATGTTTCATTGAATAATACGTATAACTAACTGAGAAACTAATTATGAGTATGAAAATATGTTAGCTTTCAGAGCTACAATAAATGTGGAAACTTGTTTTGATAAAAGATGGTTATAAAAAATTTAGTACCTGACAAGTATTATATTTTTACGGTGTAGGACGACAATATTGTGTTGCTCTAGGATTCACAACGTTTAACTAAATGATCTCATATAGATAGTGGTACACCTGTATGAACTCTTCGAATGTCGTTTGAACCAATAGTTGGATATATGTGACAGTACAATAGCATTATTCCATGATACTATCGGATTGTCCATAAATGTTATAATATCTATCAGATCATTTTTTTGTCTTAACAAATCTTTGCACCATTTTCTTCTTCTTTACGATTGTTTGTTCTTAGTTGATAACTCACACACATAACAAGCAAATTCTTTGATTTCTCCATCTAAAATTGGTTTTTAAGTATTGGACTTTTGAAAAACTTTTACAAGCCTTACTTGTGGATCGATATTCGGTACTTTTATCGTTATTATTTGTTAAGAATATAACAATAGACCGAGGTGTATACTTGCATTGGGATCTATTTGCATGAATCTTGAGGTTGTATAAACTTCACAATATTGTCAATAGAAACTTTCTTTACATCTTTATCAGACCATTGATGAACTTGCTTTGCCACCATATGTTCAAGAGTTCCAGGGTGTGTATCAGTCATAGGAACAACATCAATGGTGATAAATGGAACGAAGGGTTCATTTTTGATATATTATGGGATTTGGGGATCAACACCATCAAGAAAGAGAGACATACGATTCTTGCATGGAGAGAAGTTATCTCTACTGAATCTTGAAGGTTTGGCAAGAGAGTCATTGTCATTATAGTTACTAGTAGTCATAGTTTGATCAAATGAGAAGAGAAGAAGAATGAGAATACTGCCTTGATGCCACTTGTTGGTCTCGAGAGTTACAACAAGGCTGATAAGGTTTGTAGAATGGGAGTAAATACAAACACAACTTTTTAACTTTTCAATTTCTTTTATTGATTATGGGAAGAATCAATATATGAATTTATAGATTGTTTGCAGAAGAAGAGAAGGTATAAAACCTAGTCTAAAACAATCTAGCTATGATTACATAAAGTACTAAGAATCTCTAGAAAACCAAGCTATATAAACACACAGACACTCTTACATAAAAACACTAAGGGAGCATTTGGTTCATAGAATGGAATTCGATGGAATTGGAATTCATCAAATGAATTTGACTTTGAGGGAATGGAATGGAATATGATGGAATTTGACCATGCCTTGTGATTGCGTTTGGTTGCATGGAATTGGAATGAAATTATTAACAGATTGAATTTTTTTGTTTGGTTCATGGAATTCAACTATGGAATCGGAATTAAATATCAACAAATGACCTTTTATGATTTTTGAATAACAAAATTGTTGGTCCCGTTAGGGTCTACAAGATGTGTACAACAGTTTGTAGAAAGGGGGGGGGGRKGAATACAAACACAGTAAACTTTTCAAATTTAAAATATATATTGATAGAGAATGATCAATACAGATTTTACAAGATTGTTTGCGGAAAGATAAGATAAATAAAACATATCTAAACAATCTAAAGTTACATACTAATTCTTAGCAAATAAAGAAAAGATTTGCTGTTAAAAACTTAGAAGAAAGTAAGTTCTATTTGGGAGAGAACTGTTTAGATTACAACAAAGAGATTCTAGCTTGCTCTTGAAGATGAGTGTATTTGTTCTTAGATGTGTGTGTTCTTTTACTTAAGCATAAGTAGGAGTAAGGAGTAGAAGTATCTCTGCATAGAGATAGAACACATCTATTTATACCCATTGCATTAAATGCACATTTAATGTAATGTGGTAGGGTTAGAAAGCATGTCAAGCCTTTAGAGGAAGACTTGTTCTTTGCTACAGTAAATAGTACGAAAGCCTATTCATGAGCAGACATCCTTTCACAAAGTTGGTAGGTAATAGAGTCAACTAATCGGCTCCGTACCGTACTATGTTTTAGAAAGGGTATGGGGAAAGGGTATGGGGTTGTCCTTTGTCTGTATGAGGACAAGACAAAAACAATCGTGCTCAACAAGCTTCTTTTGATCGCTGAATGTTGGAATAACCTGAAGGTCTCTTCAGCATTCGCTGAGGCTTGGGCAGTCTTCACACACATGTAGACAAGGTTGTAATCACTGAATACCGCTTCAGATCACGTACTCGCCAGTCTCTAATCTTCAGTTTCAGTCTTCAACTTTCGCTGAAGGTTCTTTGGTGTGAGTTTTGTCTTCTTGAAGTATCGTTATCGTTGACTGGATTTACATTACAAGTTCTTCAGCGATCACTTAATAGACTCAGTGATGATCGCTGGAACTAAAAACAGAAACATAAATACTTCGGATAAAGTAAAAGAGATTATCATCAAATCAAGAGAGAGATGATCAACAATCTCCCCCTATTTGATTATAACAAGATAACATAAAAAAGTTGTCTTATCAAATAATAGTAAGAAAAAGTAACACATAAAGTACATGTCCCTTTTAACTATTTTGGGATCTTTTTCAGTGAGTCAGTCTTTACTTGTAGAATTTTTTAGATTAAGTCTAAGAAAAGTTACAAGAAGGGAAACTGAAACTGAAAGTTTATTCATTGACTTATAGATTGTCAGTGAATGTGAGAAGTAACACTGGAACTCATAGACTTGTGTCCCTATTACTTTTTTCAGGGATCTTTTTCAGTGATCTACAAAAACACTTATATTATGTTCAAGGGAAATATTACAAGACGTTCAGTACATGTCTAAAACTTACAAAGTATAAGATTTATCACTGAAAATAGACATAGTAAGTAGATTACAATACATGGACAATATTACAAAGAAAATAAACTAGTCTAAGTGTTATATCCCAGATCTGACAGTAGAACGATTTACACTAGAAG